GAAATGGATACTCCTGAAAACAAAAAAATTTTACACTGTTTACAGCAATAAGAAAAATAAACAAGCAGATTTTCCGTTGTGTTATTTTTGTCCTTCTACCATTTCCTCTACCCTCCTTGTTTTTTCTTTTTTTTTTTCCCCACTAATGTTCGCCATTCAGTCTGTTAATACATTCATTGATAGATTTCTATGTTGCGTTTTGTTCAGTAAACATTGACAAAAAAAAAATGTTGTAATGACAAGAAATATATATATATTTTTTTGATCAAGAAATTTGTAATTTGCAGCTTTTATTTAATCTTCAGTATTTTCCAAGTTTACGCTTTCCACTAACACCAAATTTGTGATTGTTTTTAAAGCAGATAATTTGGTTAAAATTTTGTTGCTTAAAACATCTTAATGACGCTATGTTCTGTGAAACCGTGCCGTTTCTTATAATCACAAAAGAGTGACCAACCACAGTATGATAAAAGATTTCAACAAAGAAATAAAAAATAAAAAAAAAAGGAAAAGTAGTGAGGCCAATTGATTAAAAAAAAAAAAAAGAGTTATCTTTAATAAGTAACCCGTAATATTTTAGCAAATTATGCAAAAAAAAAACTAATTTTGGGATATGGAAACGTCAGAGGAGTTCAGTTTAATGTTCACAAAAGATAGTTTTCTATGCCGTTTGTTTGAACAGAACTTAGACATCTTACTTTTGTTTTGTGATATGGTTTTATTTCTTGATATCCATACGGCTACTGCCCAATGTTTAACTTACAACTGTTTTCGTTGTAATAATTTAAGTGCTTTAACTAGAAATTTGTTTAAAGAAAAGACAAACATTTAGCCAGTATTTATGCAATCATTCAATGATCAATTAAGAAATCATATCAGTCGGGTACTTCTTCCACTATAAATTCAGTATCTCGAAAACAATATTTTTGAAATATCATTATTTATTCTTTAAACATTTTGTAGACCACTGAACTGGCATTAAGCGAAATATTTTAGTACCACAGAGAGACTATTTGTATGCTGATAAAGCAACAAAGCATCTGAATTCTTTGTCATCTGGTTGTCACATATCAAAAACAGTGTTGCGAAACTAACTGTAAAATAACCTCAAAACACTTACCTGTCCGTAACTTACCCATCGTTCTACATTTGTAACTCACCAGTTTTTGACCAAACACATACACTAGATGATACTGGGCAACTGTTTTATATAATTCCTATACATTTACAAAGAGATAATAGTCTAAAAAAAACTAGTTTTTTCTAAAAACTAGGTTTTTTGTACCGCTTTTCAAACTGATGCTCTGCTTCAGGTGTAGAGGTTAAAAATGAGCAGCAGTGATACTGGTGTAAAGTGAAAAACAGTACCGAAAAATGAATAAAAGAATCTAAATATTGCATACTCTAGACAGAGCTAGTTAAGTTTAAATAAGTAATCATATATGCATAACTATTTATTTATTTATTTGTCTATTTATTTATTTATTATTTATATATTTATATATAAAATTTAGAGCTTCTTCTATATATATACATTTCATAATGTGGTCAGATCTTTCTGACAAATTTGAAATTTACAAGCCAAAAAATAATTTTTGGATAGAAGTAATTCACTTTTTTACAGTAACCCTAGAGATTTTGAGATTTTGCAGTGGCAAAACCTTTCAGTTTTAGAAGATTTGTTGAAAAAGGTTAAATTTTTGTGAAGATATTTGCGAATTACCACTCAACAAAGCTGTAACGGGCAGCCTTCATTTATCGCTTCACGACTGCTTCCTGCCAATATTATGATGCTAATACTTAATATAGTGGCGTCATAAAGTTCAGAAACCTGTTGCCGTAGTCGAGGTGAAGACTGAGAATTTTTGCTAAAGCTTTTAAGATCTGGTCATTTAAGAAGATTATAGTAGAAAAAAGTAGGAAAAGATAGAAAAAAGCAAACTAAGCAAACTTTGCTTACGCAGTAGATTACAAATATGCTTCCACAGTTCAAAATCTCTCTTCTTCGCTGACTTCCAAAACAAAAAAAAAATCAAAATTTTGGTATTCTGCTCATTCTTTGTCAACAAAATCCAATATTCTCCAAAGTTTTTGCGACAAGTAACATTATTAGTACCTAGTTTTTTTTTGTAAGTTAAATGCTTCTCTTTGAATCTCACAGTTGGTCACAAAATGTAGGAAGTAGGGGATTTTGGAATGAAGACTACTAAATACAGCTTTGCAAAATAATAATGTATAAATGTTTTCATATAAAACATAACTTTTAAAAAACAAATTTTGAATGGCTATAGATTAACAAGTTTTGATAATGCTTTACTGGCTTCTGGAAGCAGCAGAAGACAATTTTGCCACTGTGAAATGCGTAGAATTATTGTTTAAAAAAGCGAGTTCCTTTAAGCCCCACATTTTTTTCCAACCCGTAACTTCCGAATTCATCTAAATGACATAACTAAGTTGTGTTATTTCATGAAACAAAAAGTTTTACATAAAATATAATTATTTTAGAAAAACTTCACATAAATATCCTTTCCAACACTCTTTTAAAAAGCTGTGTCTACCTAACTATTAAATAAAGTTAGATGCGAAATATGTTCTGTAAGATAAAGAAGATACAATAACCCGAGATTATTTAATTCCGTAAAAGATAAGTTGAATTGCAAGTTCGAAAAGACTGGCATATCAAGCAAAAACTCGGTAAATTTTACAACTTCGAGAGACGCGATAACCCAGCGCAGAAATCGCTTTTCCAAATTGTCTCTCAACTTTTCTAAATCAGATTCCAGACTGTACTAACTGATGAAAAAACAGCAACTGACCGGTTTACGTATAATATTTATACGAATATAATAAAAGCTCTTTAATATTCGGTTGTCTCATCGTGCTGGTAAGATAGAGAAAAAAAATCAATTCTTGTCCTCTACAGACCGCCATTATTCAAAAAAAAAAAAAAAAAA